AGAAAGACATAGAAAAAGAGAGACGGAGAGAGAAGAAAGATGAGCGAGAGAGACAGAGAGAGAAATAGAGAGAAGATAAATAAGTGAGAGAGAAGAGAGATAGAGAGATAAGAGGGATAAAGAGAAGAGAGATGAGCGAGAGACAAAGAGAGAAAGAGAAAGAGAAAGAGACAGAGACAAAGACTGACAGATAGAGAAGAGTGATAAGTGAGAGAGAAAAGAGAGTATATTTTGTGGTAGAGGAGAGGAAGCGACAGTAGTGGTGAAGGTGGTGGATAAGAGACGATGGTTGGTGGTGATGGCGAATGAGATTAGTGGTGAAGTTGTGGTAGTAGTAGAATAGATGGAGTGGCAGTGGTGAAAGAGAGGTAATGGTAGTAGTAGTAGTGGCAATAGTGGTAGTGGTGGTAGTGGAGTGGTGGTGATGGTAGTAATAATGGTAGTCGTAAAGGTGAAATGGCGACCGTGGTAGTAGTGGTGGTAGTGAAATGGCGTTTGTAGGAGTGGTGAAGGTGGTAGAGAAGATGAGCGGTAAGAGAAAAAGATTAGTGAGAGACACAGAGAGAGAGAGATAAAAGAGATAGAGAGAAGAGAACTGGACGAGAGACACAGAGAAAAAAGAGGACAGACAGACAGAGAAGAGTGATAAGTAAGAGAGAGAAAGAGAAGAGTGACAGAGACACAGAGAGAAAGAGAGAGACGGACAGACAGAGAAGAGTGATGAGTGAGAGAAAGAGAGAGAGACAAGAGAGATAGAAAAGAAGAGACAGAGACACATAGAGAAAGGAAGAGACAGACAGACAGAGAAGAGTGATGAGTAAGAGAGGAAAGAGAAGAGAGACAGAGACAGAGAGATAGGAAGATAAAAAAATGGGTGAAAAGAGAATGTTCAAAAGAGTAAGGCGACGTCGTTTATAGTAGATCGATAAATCGAGAATGAGCTCGATAAATAGAGAAGATGAGAGTAAGAAACGAGCAAGACGAACATAATGAGGGAGAAATAGACAAATAGACAAGTAGACAGAGAGAGAGAAGAGTGATGAGTGAGAGAGAGAGAGAGAGAGAGATAGAAAAGAGAGAGAAACAAGAGATGAGCGAGAGATAGACAAAAGAGAGAGAGAAATAGAATGAAAAGAGATGAGCGAGAGAGAGACACAGAAAAAGAGAGAGACAGAGAGAGAAGAGAAATGAGCGAGAGAGATAGAGAGAGATAGAAAGATAGAGAGAGAGAAAAAGAAATGAGAGAGATAGAGAGAATAAAGATGAGCGAGAGAAAACAGATGTGAGAGATAGAGAGAAGAGAGAGAACGAGAAACACAGAGAGAAAATGAGAGAGAGAAACAGACAGACAGAGAAAAAGAGTGATGAGTAAAAAAGATAAAGATAAGAGATAGAGATAGAGACAGAGAGACAAGAAGATGAAAAAATGAATGAAAAGATAAATGTTATATCAAAAGAGTAAGACGATATTGTTTTTTCTATTTTTTTTGCGATAGAAAAATGTACTAGAATTTATTCAAAACCATTTTGTGACTGTATATATATGAAGCTGTTCTCAAAACCACAATCACTATGCTAGGTTAGAGTTTTCCAAAAACTTTTTGAGAAAATTATACTTTCTTGTTTTCCGTGTTATATTGTTTTTACTGAATTTTTTTAATATTTTAAGTATTTTTTTAAATTTTTAGACACACCTAACATAAATACACCTAAAAAATTTAAAAAATTGTAATTTTTTTTAAAAAAATTCACTAAATACCAAAAATACAATAATTCAATACATTTTTTTTGTATTTTTATATATTTATTAATTTTTAAAATATTTTTCATAATTTTTTTTTAGATACATTTAAGTAAGGTGTATCTAAAAAAAATATTTAAAAATTTAAAAATATTCACTAAAACAAAAAAAAAAAACACAAAAGTCACTTTTTGCGACGGCAGAAAATGCCGTCTCAAAAAAGCAAAGCATTTGCGACGGCACAATTTGCCGTCTCAAAAAATGAGAGTATTTGCGACGGTATTTTCTGCCGTCGCAAATACTTTCATTTTTTTGAGACGGCAAATTGTGCCTCGCAAATGCTCTGCTTTTTTGAGACGGCAAATGGTGCTGTCGCAAATACTCTGCTTTTTTGAGACGACATTTTTTGCAGTCGCAAAAAGTGACTTTTTGAGACGGCAAGTGTGCCGTCGCAAAAAGTTCCGTCTCATAAACCCACTTTTCCTGTATATATACCTTTAAAAGATATTTTCATACTATCTATACAAGATTAATATTAGAGATATCAACATTTTTATTAAATATCTCATGAGTATCACATAGATATTTTATTAAATATTTGGTAAAAATGTTAGGATTTATAAGATTTTCTTTGCAGAAACAAACAAAATAAATACAGAATATCTTTATGGAATGAGATGGCACAAAATTGGCCAATTACTTTTAAACAAAGGCTAGGATTAGGAAGATGGTTTGGGCTATTTTAGTCAAAAAGATAAAATAGGTTATTTTAGTCATAACAAATAAATATCACATCCAACCCATAATTATTACACTCTTTTCTCACAAAAAAATCAAAAAAACTAAAAAGCCCTTTTAGCCCAAGGCTAAATAGTCAAAAAAATCAAAAAGTCAAAAAACCAACCCACTTCCCAAACGAAGCCAAAAAAAGTCATTCAATTATTTTCAATTACATAAATATTATTATCATGTCATTTTATTTTGGGTCTGGCTTGGTCCAGTCCGTCATCGGACTGGATAACGGACTAGACCGTGCTGTTGGGCTCATGGAGGCTCACCACGGGTCCTGTTTTGAAAATCTGAATCGTTCAATATGTAGAACTCGTCGAGTACTATATACTTATAAAAAAATCACGTTGATCGGATATCGATAGCTATGTGATCAAATCAGTTTTGTATAAAAAAAATGGACGGTGAATAAATTAAACGGTTGATAAAAAACTGTTTTGATTCACATAGCTATCGATATCCGATTAATGTGATTTTTCACAAGCATATAGTACTTGACGAGTTCTACATATTGAACGGTTTAGATTTTCAAAACGAGATCCGTAGTGAGCCCCACAAACCCAATAGCACGATCCAATCGTGATAGTGGACTAGACCAAATCCAGGCCCTTTTATTTAATGTTGGAATGGCAACAAACAGATAATTTGCCTTTGAGTGTGCGTGCGTGTCATCATAATGTTGAATAGTAGTAATGCAATGAACATGCCATAATGGGGTATCTCTAGTATTGCAATGAAACATCCCTAATTTATCACACTAGTGCGTATCTGATGTACGAAATTTTAGAAAATCAATATTACAATAAAAAAATCAGCAATGCTACAGACCCCTAGTGGAGGTGACCCTCAGTGACCTCAGTGTTACGTGTCGGCCTGGGATTGGTTGAAAATAAAAAAAAAAAAAATTGTTTTTTTGACCAATGGAAAGGACCCCAGCCACCCCCACTAGGGGTCGAAGCTTTATTTTCAAAAAAAATTTACTATTTGATTATATTTTTATTTCGTTTGTATATATAAATCTTATTTCACACTCATTAAAATATTTAATATTTCACATATTAAAAATTTTAAAAAATCATATATAAGTAAGTCATCACATAATAATTGTTAATTTATCTAAAAATTACTTCAGACAACTACAAGTAGACAAAAAAAAGACATATTATAATTAATCAAATGACTAATATTAAATAAAAGTAACACTAATTTTATTATCAATAGTAGATATTACATTAATCATCCCACATAATATAATAAATTAAAATAAATTAATTTTAATTCCCATTATATTAGGTTAGTGGTTAATTTTTTTTACTGCTATTTGTTTTTTAGTATATTTGATTCATCCTAAAAACATAAAATAGGTTTGGAATTGATTTATAAAAAAAAAAAAAAGAAGAAGGAAGGGAAAAAAAAAAAGAAAGGTTTGAAAATGCATTAAAGTTGAATGACAACATAAACTCAAACTTCTGAATCTGAATAAAAAAAAAAAAAATTAAAAAGAAAAAAATTTATGATTTAGTTCTCAAAGAAATCAGTTCCTTGAAAATAATTTATCATGAGTTTTTTATAGGATAATAATAATACAAATCAATTGATGAATCACTACAAGAAAAAAACACATTTTGGCGACTAATTTTAGTCATTCAAAAGTCAAATTTTTAGTCGTCAAAAGTCAGTTTTTTAAGTTTCACCGACTAATTTTTTTTAGGCGCCGGGTTTGGTCACTGGAAAACGGTCGGGGAAAGATATTGGCCGACAAAAAAAAACTTTTAGTTGCCCAAAAAGCAAGTCATTAGCGACTAAAACTTTTGATCGCAATTAGTCAATTATATTTTTTTAAAATTATACATTTACCGATAATGTTTTAGTCGCCAATGCTCAAGGGAATCGAGCGACCAAACAGATTTATCATTGTGGAGGATTGAAACCATCAACCTCCCACACCATAAACCTTATACAACACACTCTTTCCACTAGCCTCAT